CAAAAATTTTAAAATCGGATATCTTGAGCCCTTTTGCAGATATCTGGGATATAAAATCTAGTACTTGATTATTCCAAGTTTTAGGTTAGGTAACCCAAGCCTTTGCTTGCTTGGTCAAGGTTTTCTAGTCCATTTGAAACGTCAGTGATCATGAACTACAACATCTATTTCCAGTTATTTAATGGTCACGTCTACCGCCTTATCACGTCTACCGCCTTATCAGAGCTGTCATACCAATCTGGAAGCCCAGGATAGAAAACATGGATTCCCCTTTTCTGGAATTTTAAGAAATAAACTCGGCAGTTATGGCGGCCCACAACATCACCATGGCCGGCGTGAGTTTTTTTAGCCAACAGAAGGCTAAAAGAACTCACGCCGGCCATTGTCGCTCTCCGCTTGTATTAATCGACCGTGGCATCAGAATAAATGCCGAATATTATCGCGAAAATATTCAGTTTTTTTTATCTCACCCTGTATACAGGGTCTTAAAAGATATTACGACGAGTCAGAAATTAAATGATGAATTTATATTCCCTCTATTTAAGGAAATTGGACCGACAGTAAAACGAGTAACCAGAAAAAAGACTTGTGAATACATGAAATTTCCGACCTTTTAATGATGATTCCGCAAAAATGGAACATTGTAAATTTAAGTCCTAAATTGGAATGGAAATTTCTGAAAGTGTATTTAAATGTTGTAATGTTTAAAAAATGAAATAATTGCTCAAAAAATTTCCCTTTTGAAGGCAACTGAAACTAACCATTGGCATAGCATTAAATAGATTTGTATGTTTTTTTATAAATATATTTTTTGTTTAAAGTAGACACATACATATATAACTTTACTTATTTGTTTTCATATAGTTATTGAACAGAACATTTATTATTTGTATATGTTTTTTTTTAAAGAGATATATTGCAGAATAAATTAACAGTATTTTCAGCAACAAATCCAACAGTACCAATCGAAATACAGGAAATTTAAAGACATATTTTTTTGGTTAGATAGCATGGGGTTTTTTTTAGATAAGGTTTAGGGCTATGTAGCCGCAGGGTTTTCAACTCCTGCTTTATAGAAAAGATTTTTTTGTATTACATTAGTGTAACTTTATTGATATAATGATACGTTACAGTTTTATATTTTCTTGTCTTTAGTGGAAGTTTTTAAAACTTTTTTCATTTTTAACTTGTCAATATTCAATTGATGATTTGAACTTATTTGTATGTATGTATGTATATGTATATATATAGTATATTTATATAATATATGTATATTCATTTAGGGTTTTAATATTAATATTGATTTTGCTAATCGTAATTGCTCTCAGTTATACTTTCACATTCAATATGGATATTAAGGTTTAAACGCACACATAATATGAGTGTTCTCAATTTTTATATGAAATTTTGGGTTGGAAAGCGCCAATAAGGAAAGTTCTGGTTATCATATTTGGGCAATTGTTCGAAATGTTCTGTCGATTAAAATGTTCAGTTAATATAATATATTTATAAGATTTCGTGGTATTTTGTCAATAAATCCCCAACAGAAAATCATATATTTTTAAAAGACCTACAGCAAATAGTTTGTTTTTACAACACATGGAGACCGTGTTCTACAAATATCCGTATGTCTGTTAGCTATAGAAAAAAACTTTAAAGACTTATAGTTGGTTGAGATTGAAATATTTTGCCGGGTTAACGTCCTTTATGAGGATTGGTTTGACTTTATTAGGAATTATATATTACAGAAGTATTCTCATGAATATTTATAGAAAATTTATGAAAGGCCTTTTATCAAAAAACCTAATCCTTCCTTGAATGAACACAATGAACCGAACGCATCCCTAAATCAAACTAAGGGCCTAATAGTTACAAAAGACCTGCAGATAAACGGTTGCTCCTAGAAGATTCATACGACTTATTGTAATAAAAAGTTTTTTTTATTCCTAGCTTTTTAAACTCCTATTTGATATTTTTGAGAATAAGCAGAGAATAAGAAAATATCTCTCAACTAAAATTTCAATCATATCTTTAAAATTTTCTGGACTGGTCATGTTTCTATAAATGACTGCATATTTTTGTGAAATATGTTTGAAATACCTATTAAAGGTCTTCTACATAATTTAATGTATAAAGTGATAATTTCCCATAAAAATGTAGTTATGATAACCTATACACAGAAAGCTAGAACGCCGCTTTAAATGTATTCCTCTTACAGAAAGTCTTATATCTATAATCATCGTACCTAGTACTACTAATTTCCTATAGAAGAAGGCGAATAAATCATACTTCAAAAAAGGTGCTACAGAATGCTAAATTACGTCTGTGATCATATTTACATAAGGTTATGTATCGAGGGTTACCTATTTGTAAGAGGAGGACCATATAATTTTCGTTAAAGAAATAATTCTACATTCATTTGGCAGTCAGTTGGATTTGATTTTCTCAACAGTATTAACGTATAACGAATATGTTTTGTGAAACAGCAGTAGAGATAACTTCGGTATTTTTACTGGAAAAGTTATAGGTCCTACGTAATTAAAGAAATTCCCTGTAAAAAAAGTTTTTTTTTACCTAACTACTTTTACTAGAAAGTGTTGTCTCTGAAGAAAAATTTCGAAGTATCGTCAATTTCTTCAAAACCAAAACTTGTTCTTTATAAAATAAATCTTTAAATTCGAGAATGAAAACGGCGAAAATCCCGTAACATCTTTTGACAAAAAATCGAGTCATGTTCTGATTATAGGCAGAAAATACTCATTTTCTTCTTTGAAAATTTGTTGATATTTATTCAGTTCAATTCATGGCCTATATAAAGTCGACCAGTAAGCCCATCTAAAAAGTAAGTTTCCAGCAATACCTACATAGGGTCGACGAATTTTCGACTCCCTTTGAATTTCAAATCAAAATATGTTGTTTTTTTTTTTGTTATTATTTCATACAAAAATAGAAACAACATTGAAAAGAAAGCAATGACGAAAAACGAAAATCGCAAATAGAGGAAGCCTCAAAAGAGAATGATAAAAATTTCCCTCATATAATATCGCCTAGTTCAAATCAGAACTAAACAAATTTGTAATATTTTATTTGTTTTTTTTTTTTAAGAAAGAAAATATACTTTTGATTTTTATTTACTAGAGTGTCAACGTAATTTTAGTTAATGATGCAAAATTGTACTTCCTGCTATATTTCATATTGGATCAGTTTCAGTTTTCATTCTGTTTGAGTCCTTTTGCAAGTATATTACATACAAAATTTTTAATCTTCAATAATCATTTAGAACTCATCACAAAATTGCTTACCAGATTTCAACTATATAATTGTGTGAGTCATCCTATTTTTCTATCAGGGTGTAATTTTCCTATTAAATCTTTGAAGTGTGTTTTCTGCGTATACAGGGTGAGATGAAAAAACTGCAACCAACTTCAGACTTGTTGTCATTTCTAAGCCACTCGTCCGAGAGCTGTTAAAATTATTGCAATGACAGCTCATTATATTGTTTTCAAGCGTACAAAAGCATTTTGGTCAGAATTTTCCAAAAAAAAAAAAACTATTCGTGATGGAATTCAAGCGTGATAGTGTGATTTTTTTATATTTAGCTGGAAAACCACATGTGGCTATCGTCTGAGTACTTCAGCATTTAAATGTAAATAAATCTTTTGTGTTTCGTGCTATCGCTCGTTACCGTGATACTGGTAGCGTAGCCCGAAATCAAGGAAGTGGACGGAAGAAAAAAGCAACATCAGCAGAAATGGTTCGACTTGGTCGAAGCCCGCGTCGCAGTGGCCGAAAAATGGCCCGTGAGCTGAACATATCGCAATATTCCATTCGGCAAATATTGAAAAACGAGCTCGGAGTAAAGCCATTGAAATTGCAAAAAGTGCAAGAACTTACACCGCGACACAAAGAAAATATACTCAACAGATCTAAAGTGTTGCTTCGCTTGGCCGAAAGTGGTGAACTGCCGAATTTGGTTTTCTCCGATGAGAAAACATTCGTTGTCCAGCAGTTTGTAAACAAACAAAATTATTGTATTTACTTGGCAAAAAGATCAGCTGAAAATGTGTCGGCCATGGTGATGGCGTGGGCCGCCATAACAGCCGATGATCGCTCTCTGCTCCTATTAATCGGCCGTGGCATCAGAATAAATGCCGAATATTATCGTGAAAATATTCTGGAGGATGTATTAAAGCCTTGGGCACGCAAACATTTTGGCCGCAGAACTTGGACATTCTAACAGGACTCAGCACCATCGCACTCAGCACGCCCAAAAAAAGAGTGGTTACAAAATGAGGTGCCTAACTTAATTGCCAGCGCGCAATGACCACCAAAATCTCCGGATACCAATCCGTTGGACTATTGTGTCTGGAGTATTTTGGAAAGCAAGGTTGGCACTAAAAAATACCAAAGTGTCGATCACCTCAAGCAAGCGCTTCGCCGAGAATTGGCTAAACACCGCAGAGCAACATTTGGGCAGCGTGTGACGGTTTCATTGGCCGTTCATTTTGGCCTTCAATTCGTAGCAAAGGTGGTCAATTCGAACAAATCTAAACTTTGATGCCATTTCCGACATTTTTTGCATTCATTCAATAAAATTAAAAAAAAAATTAAAAATTTAAAAATGTAAAAATTATGGCGTTTGACTTTGTTGCAGTTTTTTATCTCACCCTGTATATGGACAAAGTTGTCAAAGCCAAAATATTTGTCTTCGGTCCACTAAAATAAATGCTTTACCTACTTCTGTTCATACGTTATATTCCTCTTAAACGTACGAATTCAAGACGATTTCCTTCAAAGGACCTGCCAACGTACAACATAATTTAAATAAAAGTCTTTATCAACAGGAAAGTTATTACATGGTGTTTGTTATATGCTTTAGGATTTCTCCGAATTGATAGCTACTAACCATAATCTCATAGTTTATTGAAAACACTGAAATATGTGTGTGTGCTCGTTTTGTCTCTACTTATATTTTGGAAACATATATAATAACAAATTCGTTTCAACTTTAAATTTTTGCAAGTTTTATTTCTGATTACTTTTTTTGTTTGTTTATAATTATGCTTTATTATTATTATTATTATTGAGTCTATGCCTGTATATTTTTGCTCAGTTTCTTTTCAGGCTTAGGCCTGGATGATTTTGTTTATAATATTTTTTTATAATATATTATTGTTGTTATATAATGATACAATTTATAATTATCTTTTAAATATATTTTTTTTACAATTATCTTCTATTATTATTTTGTATGTATAAACAGTAAATTAAAAGTATATGTATTTATATATATAAAAAAATAATACAAAACAAAATATATAGTAGTTCAATTCCAATATATATAAAAAAACTCAAATTTTTTATTAAACCACTAGCAGATTTTTGTTTTCTCTGCTTTTTCCAATAAAAATGAGTAATATTTTATACCGTCTTTTATTTTCACATAGTTTTACTGAATAAAATTTTGCCGACGGTTAACTATTAATAATTTTTAGTGTATAATATATAGTGTAGGGTTAGATGTTGTTTTCCCTTTGTTGCTTTTTGCTTTTCATAATTGTATGTATATGTATATTATAGGTAGGTTAATTTTGCTGTTTATTATAAATCTATGATATTACTTATTAAGAAAATGACTAGGATAATTCCGAACATGACATTGGTGTACAACCAATTAGAGCAATTGGAAAATTTTTAACATGTGTTTGCCATTGCGATGATAATTGGAAGAATTTAACGCCAGTCCATTCGGTGCCATCAATATAAACTGTAAAGATAATAATTGTATATAGACAGGTATTAATTGATGTTCTCTCAACTAAAAAGTAGACTTAAAATAAAATAAGACTGTTTGCCAAAGCTTAATTTAACCTTATTTCAGTTGAAAATAGAAAAAAATTTTGGAAGGCCCATAGAAGATTCAACAATGAATAAATTCTTTGCTCTACTAAGGCTTTATAGAGTTCGATTTTACAAAACTAAAAATAACTTTTAAATTGAACTAAAAACCTTAGTAAGGGATGTCTAAATGACTATATTAGATGAAGTGCCCAACGAAGAATCTATGTTACATACATTTTTCCGAATTTATGTTGGCCTTCTGGCCTTCTTCCCGAAAAGGTCTGTATAAATTGTATACAATGAAAATGGAAAATTCATTCTATTCAAATTCATACCGACATTATTCGTTATTGAAAAATGAAAAATTTACTCTAGTTAAACAAAAATACATTTTTTAGAAGTAATATAACGGGTGTATGGAATGTATACGTCCCACAAAGATATATTATCGGAAACAGTGAAAATTAATATTTCTTATAGCACTTGAAATATAAACGACGCATATATTTATAAATCCAAATAGATTGCATATTCTTCACAAAGTTCTTTCCCAAGCCCTCAGTTATAACCTATAATTTGAAAATATTTTATGCACTTTCTTCTACTTACCCCTCAATGGCACTGGATGCGACTGTTTTGGTGAGCATATTAAACGAGCAACTCCTTCAACACACTGCTCCTTTTCGAGATCACGATCTTTTTCTTTTTTCTTGCCCAAACGCATAACTGCAATTAAAACGTGACACATATTAATATTTCATTCTAAATTCCATATATCGTATAAAACTTACTTTGCTTTTGTTTCTTTTCTTTGGTAGCAAATGAGACAGTCAAACCATTCGATATTTCACCCAATTGGGCATTTTGTGGCAAACGCCAAACCTGTAGACTTCTAAATGTACTCTTAATGCTATTTTTGCCACCCTGGTCTCCACCCTTGGCTGCACTCTTATCCTTTGAACTCGAATAGTCCATGGGCCGTGCTATGGGCCAATAATCGACTTGCAATTCCACGGCTTCATTGAACATATTTCCCTGTAAATGTTGTGGTGTAGCGCTGAAACTATCACCCATACGTTCACGATGCGAGGATGCCGATGAGGGCGGGGTCTGCAGAGGTGGTGATATACGACCGCTTTGTGGCGGTGAACCAGATACAATGCCACCACCACCTTGTAGACTGGAGGAAATATTTTGGTTATTCAAAGGATTTTGAGGATTCGAATTTCCAATTGGTATGGGATTGGTAATTGATGATGGTTGCTGTTGTTGTTGCAGTTGGGGTTGCTGCTGCTGTTGGCTGGCCGAGCCCAATGTCTGTTGAGCATAGTTTTCTTCGAGATCAAGGGAAGCCTGGGGTCCTTCCAAACAACCAATGCGGACATCCTGTACAAAGGAAAAAATTAATTTTAATTTTTTTTATTGAAAATTAATCAATTTTGCTCTCTAACTTACACTAACAAATGGCACAAATATTTGACATGAATCCTCATCCTTGTAGTTGACCATAGCCTCGGCTATGGGTATTTGTGTGCAGGGTCCAGCCGCATGCAAATATCGTTGTATACGATTCACTAACTCCACAATATCCGATTTGGTGGCTACACCAGTTTCGGCCAAAGTCGAGGCATTCACCGTGGTCACGGCACTAACTGCGGCCGCCGTTTGGGCCACACGCTCACACAGCTGATACCAATTATCAGAACCGAACATTGCAGCATAGGTTTGATCCAATTGACTGAGATGCCTAGCAATGGTACTGCTACCAATGGGCACAATGTAGAAACGCAAATGATTTAACCAATCGGGAGGCCTGACACCCATTAGATCGACGTAATGTCGGAGGGCAGCACCCTGCAACCAGTCGCCGCCAATTAATAGGATTTTCACGGTGGTGGGTGGTTTGGCATTCGAATTACAACTGAAATGAAAAAAGTCAAGTCGATGGTTATGAAATGGATCTTTGTGTTAAAAATTGTGTGTCGACTTACTATTTTTGTATTTTACCCATAAGGGCCTGCAGTACAGCCTTTACCTCGGCCGTATTCTGTGGTACAAAGGCCGGTTTAAAGGAATTCGCAAACAATGTAGTTAATTTCGGCACTAAACTACTACCGCTTAAAGCTTCCGGTGGACTTATTATTGTCACCTCATCGGGTATAACTGAATCTTCACTGGCAAATATGCGACTCAACTGATCCAGCAGCATTTTGCGTGGTTCCACATTGGTGGGCGACAAACATGTCTCTAATACTGAGCGTGGTTCAGCGCTTAGGCTAAGTGTTTGTTTCTTCTTACCACCACCCGGTGTACTGCTCGACGATCTGAAGAGACGCGAACGTTTCTCATTTGATGAGGGTGTTGTAGTATTGGTGGTAGTTGTGGTATTGCTATTGGTGGCATTATTGGCATTTTGTCCCATCGAAGCCAACAAATTGGCACTGGTGTTGACGGGCGTCAGAGGTTGGCGCATCAGCTGTTGCATCGGCAAAAAATCGCGGTCGCCACGTGGAGGACTATTTTGAGGATCTGAGGCTTGGCCATCGGTGAAGACGGCATTGCCTTCATTGCCGGAACTATCATTACGATTATCACAAATACGATCTGAAGAATGAATGAGAAAGAAAATATCTTGGGTAAGTTTGTTGAAATACGGATTAATCTGTACGATAGAAAAGTTCAATAGTTTATACTGATGTGTATTTAAAATAGAGAGAATATTTTGAATAAAAAGAATTCAAATGTTAATTTAGCTAAGGGGTTTATTTTGGGTGCAAATTTAAAAAAGCTTTTATTTTAAGGGCATTCTTATCGGGGGGAGTGCATTTTAAAGAAGTGCAATAAAACACTGAAGTGTAGATGAAAATAAGGGGAAGTGCAGATGAAAATAAGGGGAAAAGAAGTTGTATGGCAGAAAATATAACATTAAGATTTTGGCGCACAGAAGGAAATTTAGTCGAACGAACAAAGAAATTAAAAGACCTTTAGGAAATTTTCGGAGAGAAACAAAAACGCTGCCGACACAAATATTCTAAGCCCGACCACATGGTTATGCTCTATTGAAGAATTTCAAAGGATTGACAGGAATGAATAGAGAACGATCCTGAAGCTATTGGGGACAATTCTTTATGCCTTCGAAATTATCAAATTACACAAATTACAATTAATTGTAAACATATCAAATCGGGTATCTTAAAAATCGGTAAAATTTTGGGATAGGTTTTCATGGTTAAATACAAAATATGTTTATCAGATAGTTTTTACCGGTTGCGAACTCAAAATACAAATCTGTACCCGGCATGGAATTGAGTCGAATGAACAAAAACTAATTAAAGCACTTGGATAAATGATACACGGATTACTCGGACAGAAAAAATACATTTTTCCAATTATGAGAAAAGAATAGTTTTTGTACAAATCCCCATCGAATCCTCAACTTCTGACTGCTGTCATTTCTAAGCCACTCGTCCGACAGCTGTTAAAATTATTCCAGTGACAGCTCATTATATTGTTTACAAGTGCACAAAATAATTTTGGTGAGAGTTTTCCTGAAAAAAGTTATACGTCATGGAATTCAAGCGTGATAGTGTGATTTCTTTATATTTGGCTGGAAAACCACAAGTGGCTATCGTTAGAGCACTCCAGCATTTAAATGTGAATAAATATTTTGTGTCTCGTACCATCGCTTGTTACCGTGACACTGGTAGCGTAGCCCGACCTTAAGGAAGTTGCCGGAAGAAAACAGCAACATCAGCAGAAATGGTTCTAAAAGTAAAGAAGCGATTCGATCGAAACCCGCTTCGCAGTGGCCGAAAAATGGCTCGTGAGCTGAACATATCGGAATATTCCATTCGGCAAATATTTAAAAATAAGCTAGGGGTAAAGTCATTGAAATTCCAAAAAGTGCAAGAACTTACACCGCAACAGAAAGAAAATAGACTCAAAAGAGCTAAAGATTTGCTTTGCTTGGTCGAAAGTGGCGAACTGCCGATTTTGGTTTTCTCCGATGAGAAAACAATCGTGTCGAGCAGTTTGTAAACAAACAAAATGATCATGTTTACTTGCCAAAGAGGTCAGCTGAAAATGTGCACCTTCGGTTGGCCACCAGAACTCAAGCGCTTGCCATGGTGATGGTGTGGGCCGCCATAAAAGCCGATGGCCCTCTCCGCTCGTATTAAACGATCGTGGCATCAGAATAAATGCCGAATATAATCGTGAAAATATCCTGGAGGTATTAAAGCCTTTTTGGCACTAAAAAATACCAAAGTGTCGATCACCTCAAGCAAGCGCTTCGCCGGGAATGGGTCAAAATACCGCAGAGCAACATTCGGACAGCATGCCAAAGTTGACCAATTCGAACAAATCTAAAATTATTCTAAAATTTGATGATATTTTCGAAATATTTTGCTTTCAATAAAATTTAAAAAAAAATGTAAAAATGATGGCGTTTGACACTGTTGCAGTTTTCTTTATCTCACCCTGTATTTATTCTTAACATATAGTAAACTTTATTTCTTTAAAAGATTTTTTTAACTAAAGTATTTCTTGCACTCCTCCTTATATACAGATACAGATCTTAAGAAGGCATTCAAAAAGGTTTCTACTTCTAAAATATATCTGTTCAGCTTCCCCTATAAAATGCCTCGTAGGGGTCTCTTATTTAAGAAACATTTAAATTCAAGAAAACAAAACACATTATAAAACGGAATTAATTTTTATTCTCTCCCTCTCTCTCTCTCTCTTTTTCCCTCTCTCTAATGATTTCTCAATTGGAAAATCTAATGATGTGCAAATTCGTTCGTGAATGATATTCCCTTTGACCATTTTCATTCTCCTGCCTCTCCTCCCACACCCATCTCATCAGTCATTCCCAGATGACAAGCATTCCACTGGTAGCGTAGCCCGACTGACTTTGTTGCAGTTTATTATCTCACCCTGTATTTATTCTTAACATATAGTACTTATTTCTTTAAAAGATTTTTTAACTAAAGTATTTCTTAAACTCCTCCTTATATACAGATCTTAAGAAGGCATTCAAAAAGGTTTCTACTTATAAAAAAATATCTCTGTTCAGCTTCCCCTATAAAATGCCTCGTAGGGGTCTCTTATTTAAGAAACATTTAAATTCAAGAAAACAAAACACATTATAAAACGGAATTAATTTTTATTCTCTCCCTCTCTCTCTCTTATTTCCCTCTCTCTAATGATTTCTCAATTGAAAAATCTAATGATGTGCAAATTCGTTCGTGAATGATATTCCCTTTGACCATTTTCATTCTCCTGCCTCTCCTCCCACACCCATCTCATCAGTCATTCCCAGATGACAAGCATTCCACTAAGTGTTGCTAAATTTACACTTTGTTGTAAAATAATTATGGCACAGCAGTATTAATGTGGCAAAACGACGGCGCAGCGTTCCACATTCTTTGCTATGCCACAACAATAACAACAAAAAAGGCCAAAGCAAATCAGTTGGGTGCACACTATGTGCCACATTAAACCCAGAGATGGGACCGAAACACATTATTCATTTAGCTTCCATAGGGTATTAAAGCTTGCATAATTGCAACAACAAAAATTTACATTTTTATATTCTCCCCCCACTCTTCCTCCACACACCCAAGCACTTGTTACCCTCTTGTTGGAGCATGTGATCTTATGTGTGCCACCAACCCAGTGTGGTCACATTGCCCCTCTGCTGGCTGAGTGAAATCCACTATGGCTGTCAGATGAGTGCATCATCAAGGGCCATTTGTTGTGGTCTATTGGTTGGGAGGGAAAGACATTGATTTAGATGCTGGCAAATGCATTTTGTTCACCACAAAATGATGGTGGTTGGAATGGTGGTGGTGTGCAGTGCAGTGCCGTGCCGTGCCGTGCATGTCTTTTTCACACGCTGCTGGTGTGAATGCCACATAAAACCACCATAAAAAATTACTATTTAAAAATTTGTTTCTGTTATTTATAGACGACATGAAGACCATGAAGTTGAACTTTTTTCATAATTGTGTCGAGTTCAAGAATAGATTTCAATGAAATTGATTCAGAAATGTTTAATGAAATGGAATTAAGGTATTTTGTTCAGGAGGAGGGTATGCAATAACAAAAACAAAACTGCGGCAGCTAATTTTAGTTGAATTGACGTCAGCACCAATGCCGTGAGACGAGAAAGGTGAGGGATATTTTTTTATCACATTATGCATACGGTTATTACGAACAATGTTGTCAAAGATTTGGGATGTCATTTTCGTTTGGAATTAAGAAAATATTGCATCGTTTTGTGAATCGACATGAATAAAATGTACATTTTGAAAATGACCTATTTTTCTTAGACGGCCTCTGAAATACATACGCTATACGGAACAGAGTTCAGAGAAACGCCTTAAGATCTTCAAAAAATATTTAATGATGAGCTAGTTCTTTTGACATAATAGGGGCACCAAAAACAAAAAAAATTGTATTTAGGAGGTAGCTTTGTTCTATCTTCAGTAATTTTGCCATGAATGTAACCAAACAATCCAAGCTCCATACAATTGTTATTATTTAAACTTTAATTATGGAAATAAAATCTTGGGAAAGAGAAATATTTCGATCACATTGCATATATACACATTGGAGATAGTTCATTTAGAAGGATTATTATATCATACGCATGCACATAACATATAAATATTCGAATTTAATTTACAAAACAGGCATGAACTGAAAAAAAACTATGTACACATAAATGTTAGGAAAATAAAAAGGGGTTTCAAGCAGGTTAAAGAAACTATATAAAACTCAAATGTACAATGGGCCGTGTCGTCTGAATAAAAAAAAATTGGTACAAAAATGAAATAATACAACATTTACGAAACTCAATTATGGAATTTAAATTAAAAGGAGAGAAAAAAATAAAATTTCAAATAAGACTTCACATCTTCTCCCCCCACCACAGAGTCTATATATATTTTATGACGACTTGGCTCAAAGTTTGTAAAATTGTAAGCAAACTTACAAGAAATCGTTTATGGGCTATATCGGTGAACTTATTTTTGTATATCTCTAAATGTGGCTTAAATTTTAAACAACCAGTAAGAAAAGGATAAAAGTCGGGTGGTGGAACCTGTGAAAAAGGTATAGTTTTATCTTGGGAAATTGTGTGAAGTAAATCGTTACAAATATATTGCTTTGTAGCGATTTAAATTTGATATACAGGGTGAGATGAAAAAGCTGCAGACTGCGGTCATTTCTAAGCCACTCGCCCGACAGTTGTTAAAATTATTCCAGTGACAGCTCATTATATTGTTTACAACCGTCTAAGAGCATATTGGTGAGAATTTTCCAGAAAAAAATTTTTTCCTAATGGAATTCATGCGTGATAGTGTGATTTATTTATATTTGGTTGGAAAACAACAAGTGGCTAATGTTAGAGCACTCCAGCATTTAAATGTGAATAAATCTTTTGTGTCTCATATCATCTCTCGCTACCGTGATACTGGTAGCGTAGCCCGACGTCAAGGAAGTGGACGGAAGAAAACAGCAGCATCAGCAGAAATGGTTCGAAAAGTAAAGAAGCGACTTGATCGAAATCCGCGTCGCAATGGCCGAAAAATGGGTCGTGAGCTGAAGATATCGCAATATTCCATTCGGCAAATATTGAAAAAAAAAGCTTGGGGTAAAGCCATTGAAATTCCAAAAAGTGCAAGAACCTACACCGCAACAGAATGTAAATAGACTCAAAAGAGCGTAAGAGTTGCATCGCTTGGCCGAAAGTGGTGAACTGCCGATTTTGGTTTTCTCCGATGAGAAAACATTGTGTTTACTTGCCAAAGAGGTCCGCTGAAAATGTGCACCTTCGGTTGTCCACCACAACTCAAACGCCAGCCATCATAACAGCCGATGGTCGCTCTCCGCTCGTATTAATGTACGCATTAATCGTGGCATCAGAATAAATGCCGAATATTATTGCGAAAATATTTTGGAAGGTGTATTAAAGCCTTGGGCATGCAAACATTTTGGCCGCAGACCTTGGACATTCCAACAGGACTCAGCACCAATGCACTCTGCACGCGCCACCCAAGAATGGTTGCAAAATGAGGTTCCTCGCTTCATTTCCAGCGCATATTGGCCACCAAAATTTTCGGATACCAATCCGTTGGACTATTGTGTCTGGAGTATTTTGGAAGGCAAGGTTGGCACAAAAAAAAACCAGGGTGTCGATCACCTCAAGCAAGCGCTTAGCCGGGAATGGGCCAAAATACGGCAGAGCAACATTCGGGCAGCGTGTGACGGTTTCTTTGGCAGTTCGAAGGCTATAAATCGTGCTAAAGGTGACCAAATCGAATAAAACTAAACTTTTTCTAAAATTTGATACTATTTCCGACATGTCATGCTTTCATTCAATAAAATTTAAAAAACATGTAAATGTAATGTGATCTTCGTGTGAAATATAAAAATTCTATCCTCAGAACGATTGGAAAGTAGAAAATTTTCTAGACCAATTCCAAAAAATAAATTTTTGAATACTTTATTTTTGCTTTGTAATGTTTTAAGGAATATCCCATTATTTTGCATATACTAGAAGAAGGTAGTGAAAGAGAGTGATTTTCACCTATCTCGCTTTTTGAAAAAAGCTACAGAGACCAGTTTATTTTTCACGAATTTTCCCAGTTCTTGCTAATCCAGATTGCTTGATATCAATCTTGGCATATTTACGCATTTTGGTACGAATTCACGACGAACTATCCTCATTTTAATTCTGATCACAAGGTGTACTTCTTTGTTGTAATATTCTTATGTCAATCATTAATAATTTTAAAAAATTTAAATTAGATGTGCCAACTTTTTAATCTTTCCTGCATCTCTGTATGGTTTAAAGGACGAAATATAAATCACTATTCAATTGACTAACATACTTTCATTCCCGACTTAAAATAAACAGTTGAAGTACAGTACCGAATTGATATTCCCAAATATTTTTAAAAGCAATAGAAAATAAATGTTGGAACATAAAGATAAAACATAAAACACAACATGAAGAAAACATGAAGAAAAAACACATGGCATTTGGTTTAGAAAGAAGCACAACAAATAAAAAAAATAAAAGAAGACGGACTACTAAGGGTTGCAGTGTGTAAACGTAAAGAGGGTGGAGGGCTGAGGTGATTAATTTTTTATATTTTTTCAATCAAGCGATTTTTAAGATGTTTTTCTTTCATTCGGAAAGTCTGTGTGAGACAAAAAAAGGTAGGGTGTTCTTTTTTTTTTTTTTTTTTTTTTTTTTTTGAGGGGGCAGAGTGGACAAACAAACAAGTGATATAGGTGTGGTTAGAATAAATAATAGAGGACTTTTTTATAATAAAATAATTTAGACTCATTTTCATTTCTTGTTTTCTTGCTAAAATAAAAAATTTTAAAACAATTTTTGCTTGTAGTTATTAGTTTTTTTTTCTTTTTGGTTTTGATTAGTTTAGTTTATTAATTACACAGACCTGTTGGTGTTGCCGAATTGTTATTGTTTGTTAAATGAATGCATTTTTGCTTGTTATTTTCAATTTGAAATGACGAATTTGTCAATTGGTCGCTTTTGTCCGATGATCTGCGCTCAATGTTGCCTGCAAAAGAAATTCCGAATTCAAGCCATGCAATTACAATCAAAATTAATAGAAAACAAATATAAAAAAATATAATTTAGTTGTTTTGTATTTATTAATAATAACAATAATAATTATAATATAGAAATTAGCATTTTGTAAACAAAACAGAAGAAAAAAAAACTAAACAAACAAAATAAATATTAAATTAAAATCAAATGATCAAAATAATAATGTATGTAATGCTTGTGTTATGGGTTATGTTTTGGGGGGATAAAAGCAATATTAACATAAGGGGGTTAGGCTTAACGAAAACAAATGCAATTTTTTAAATTATATTAGTATTTTTTATTATTATTAGAAATGTTTTAGTTATGACAAGCATGAATATTATTATTATTTAATCAAATACTTATTTTGTTTATATTATGCCCTGGGATACTAATTATAGTTTCTAGTAACTGTTAAATTAAATATTTGTGTAGAAACCATGTTTAACAGAATAAAAATATCTCAAATTAATAGAATATTACAAATTTTATTAAATCAAATTTTAACAAATCAAAAAATCGAGGCCCAGAAAGTACAGCATAATATTTTGCTCTTTTATGGAATTTCTTAACCAAAATACTTTAAGATATAAGTAAAATATGGTTTAAAGTAAAAATGTAAAGAGTTCCATAAAATATTTCACGCATTTTGAATCTATCGTTCCCTTAGTAGTCGACCAACCGGTTGAAGCTGTATACTACTCTAAAGAATGCATACAATTACTACATTCTTAAAAAATTATATTTAATTATTTGAAATTAAAGTTTGCAATTGAAAATAGATTCGTAAACAAATATTTTGGGGTTATGCCAAATTTTCCATGTTACAATGCCTAAAAATATTCATCGAATCATAATTAAATTCTGTCGTTGAAATCACAATTGAGCCTATATATTTTTAACTTTGAAATTGTGCATTGCATGGTATAACCAGCCGTCATATAAGGGTACCTCCTGATTTTTGAAACTTTGGAGGTTTCAGCAAAAATACTTGACCGAATTTATTGTCATTCAACACTTGGGGTGCCCATTAAATTGTCTCATTGCAATGAATTGGATCTGATCTCAAAAAAATTTGCTGTAATTCGAAATTTTGTTCCAGATTCCAACAAAAGTGATGGCAATTCCAATTTTTTTGTTCTTTAAGATTATAGAAATTCTGCCTTCAATAAAATTCAATATTCGCCTAGGTGTACTATATAAAGGTACATCTTAATATTCGATATTTTTCAGTTTACCCGGAGCTCCAAATGCTCGAGTGAGTTTCACTTTTTATTCGAATTTGAATGGGGGGACAACACTGCCTCAAGCTAAATAAGTAAAAAACATTAAGTTCGGCCGGGCCGAACTTTTAATACCCTCCACCTTTGGGTAAAGAAAATTTATTTATATAAAATATCTGAATTCAAACGTGTTCCACTTTACACCACAAATACCAGTAAGACCGTTTGGATAATACTAGAACCCATTGCGAACTACAAATATCAATTTTTGGACAAATCCGGGGAAAAATGTAACAACAATCAACAAAATACGAAATATCGGGAAGTACCGTTATATAGGGGCTATACAAAAACTTAAACCTATACATACTATGTTCCGCCACCCAAGCTAGAATCCATTGCGAACTACAAATATCAATTTTTATACAAATCCGTGGAAAAATGTGGCTAAAATCATAAAAATATCGATTATAGGGAGGTGCCATTATATGGCGGCTATACCAAAAAATACCAATTATTCAAGACGCAATACAAATTGTTCTGCCAAATTTTGAAGCACTGTCAAGTGGGCTATATCGTGATTTCAACAAACAGACGGACAACGTTAAATCGACTAAGAATTTTATTTTTTCTTGGCCACTAAAAAAAGAGTGATTTTGCTTTTCTGGTTTTCGAGTTTGAGTAAAAATCGTTCTCTTTTTTTTCATTTTATATCTTTAATAATAGCTTATGTCATTTTCTAGAACAAAACACTTTTTTAAAATGAATGTACATTTTCCTTATCCACAGCTGCAATCGAAACGAAAACAAATATATTGGCGAGTTTAAACGTTTAATCCATTTGCCACAACACATGGATACACAATTCTGTAAAAACAATACATTGTTTTACTGCTCGATTCAACTCTTACTAAAGTCATACCAGAGATGGGCATAATGCACTGTATTTTTAGTGCACTAATAATTTCACTATCACTGTTCATTTAGTGGTAGTGCAATTTTTAATTCCACTACCACTAAACGGTTAGTGATAGTGAAAAAAAATTGCACTACCACTAAATTTTAGTGGTAGTGAAATTTCAATATCACTACCACTAAATTTAGTGGTATTTAAAAAAACTTGCACTAAATTAGTGGTATTTCATAAAAAATAGCACTAAATTAGTGCTATTTAGAAAAGTAATCAAATTTTATGAATATGTACTATATATTCTGGATTGTTGTTCCCTACTCACTTCAATAAATTTCATTATACCTGGTATAATACCTATATACATAGTGCTTTTTTTGGCTTCGCTAAAATTTAGTGGTAGTGCAAATTTTTTTTGAAAAATCACTAAATTTAGTGGTAGTGCTATTAAAATTTCAATTTTTTTTAAATATCACTAAAGGGTTAGTGGTAGTGCAATTTATTTTTCACTACCACTAACCCTTTAGTGGTAGTGGAATTAAAAATTGCACTACCACTAATTATTTAATTCTTAGTGCACTAAAAATTTAGTGCAATATGCCCAACCCTAAGTCATACTCTATTTCGAAAAATATGTCTCCCACTTTTATTTTCCAAATAAGACTACTTACGAGCACCCTGCCTTAAATAAGAGAGTGGAGAGTAAACTTCTTAATGCAAAACTAAGATCTAGCATAGACAAATAAAGGTATAGACTAAAAAGTTTTAAAATTTTCCCTTCCGCAGATGTCACTATTGTTGATTTTGGGCCAGTCAAGTCACTCAGGGCTAGTGAAGTCACTCGACTTTGAAAACAATTTATTCATTTTTCTGCTATTTAAGTTCTATATTATTATATTTCACGACATATTTAGATAATGTAAAAGTAAACAAAGTCGATGTTTCTTTTTTAATTGATAAATAATAAAGAATCATAAAAATATTTAATATTTTGTATTTTGAGAGAATTGAGTGGGTCTACTGAAACTCTCTCACAGCATGAACGACACCTATTGAAGCACTTTTTTCAGAGATAACAGATGAGACAACTTTTTAGTCTATACCTTTATTTGTCTATGGCTCTGGTTTCAACACAATTTCGAGCAGTAGGTAGAACTCCCCTCACTGGAGCTGAGTGTACTCTTGATATTCTCTCTTATAAAAAATGTTCCAAGACCATGTTTTGAAAGATTTTTGGACCCATTTTTTAACAACACCTTTTTATTTTGTAAAGGGATGTTTTTGTAAATCCTTGATGGCGTACTGCATTTTGTTAAGGAACACGATCTATGATTTAATTTAAAGAATTTATCTTTAGCTTTTAGCTTAGTTGTTGTAATAACCCTAAAGTTGTTGCAGACTTGTTTGACCCATTATGTAAGAATTATTTTTTTGATCATTGTTGAACATTTTTTGCAAAATTTCAAAAATCCTCCCGAGATACCGTAAAGTATAAATATTTAACAAAAAAAAAAATTGTAGTCGATAAAAAAGGTTACAAAAATGTTAAATTTTGACAGTAGCTATTGTGAAGATTTCTGATCCATTTTCAATGAAGGACATTTCTATACTTATTTTCGTAACATTGAAAATAATAGGTAACTTATAATTTCAAGTCTATGCTAAAGTGCAAGATGAGGATTATTTTTAACGCCATTTATACTTTAATTTTAAAGTTGTTCATTGCCCATGGTTACTATTTTCGGGAGATAAATATAATACACTGGTATTGAAATAAACCTTTTTTTTGGTAGTTTTTTTTTTTAAATTGTTTCTAGTTTTACATGATAACAGTACTATTATTTTTCTTTTTGTTTAAAAATGCGTCTCTAATGATCATACTAATCAAACGTCGACGCCATCTATATTTAATTTGAATGTTTTTCTCCAATTTATTTGTCATGATGCATACTTTAAGGCGCAAAATAGGCATTTAGATGCCGTTTGACGTCAACTGGCCAACTTTATTATTAGATTTTAATAATTTTTACTGATTTCATGAAAAAGTTTCAATGTTTCGCGCGTAAATGTCTTTGTCGTTATCAACAATATATTACTATTTAAAATAAAAATTCTGAAGATGCAGTTTTGAACATAAAACTATTTCATAAATAAAAACGTGACTTTCACATAGATTCAGTTTAACGCAGGGGTGCCTAAATTTTTAATCTTCACGTTGCTGTCATAAATTACTAAATCGCCTCTCATACAATCTCACAATGCACTTGAAAAAAGTCCCGAAATATAAATGAACCATAACAAATATTCCATAAAACTACTAAATAACAAATGCTGACAAATTTCCTTAAACATCAAAAAACATAACAGGTCTCTCTTTCCCTCTCCCCTACTATTGTCATTCCAAATTAATAATCATGAAATCTTTCTTCTTTCACCCATGTTGTTGCCAACATATATGTGTTTGTGTGTGGCAATGTCATAAAAACAGAAATTATAGCTCGTTTAATTATTACACTTTTCTATGGAGAAAAAAAATGAAATAAAATAAAGAGAAAGAAAACTAATTGCTTTCTTATAAATTTATGGATAATAAAAACAAAAATACACACGCTCATCTATGACAAATCACCCAAAAACTTTTGGAATGGGGATGGACTGTCATGAGAGATTTCCAAAAATATATATATATACGCGTATACATAACCGATGAATCATAAAAATATGTATGTGTACTGTTGTTTCAAAGCATAAAAGAAATTGTGGAGAGCAGCAAAGCAAAAAAAAAAAAATAAATAAATAACATAAATCTTTATGTGATGCAAGTGCAACAACATGTTGAGTTCAGTTGAATAAAAAAAACAACGTTTTATTATCTTCATTGAATGATTTTGTACAAAGGAATCCTGGGCTTAATTTTACTGTAGCATTACAAGAAATGGCTTATAAAAATGGAACGATTAAAAATGCATGTTTAAAAGCAGAGGACAATTTTGTTTGCCTTTTCCTAACATTAAAATATTTAATATTCCTACGATCTTGACACTGACAAGAATGCACTAAAATTTATTATTTCGAAGTACATATTTGAAGTGGGTGACTTTCATAAGGCCACAATTGAATTTCTTATTATATTTGTGTGCCTAAAAATATAATAAAAGTAAACACAATTATAGATAGATGGCGTTCCAATTGCAATATGCAATTAATTGAGAAGATCAATGGAATAGAATTTTGAAACCTAATTTTTAGATTATTCAAACCTGTATCTGTTATTATACCCTTCGCCATAGTATGGAGGGTTTATTAAGTTTGTCATTCCGTTTGTAACACCTCGAAATATACATTTTAGACCCCACAAAGTGTATATATTCTTGATCAGCATACAATTCCATGTCGATTTAGCGATATCCGTCCGTCAGTGGAAATCACTCTAGCTTCCGAACGAAATGAAGTAGGTTAATAAAATTTGACTCAAATATATATTATGTCTGCAGGACTTTTGGTATTGAATGGGCAAAGTAAGTCTACGTTTTGATATAGCCCCCATATAACGGCACATCTTTATATTGTGTATTTTGAAGATTTTAGCGACATTATTCGCCGGATTTGTTTCAAACATGGTATTGAAGTTCGTAATGGATATTACAGCCTATGACAGAAAATTAAATGTGCAGGTCCACGTCTTGGTATAGCGTCCATATAACGGTACCTCCCGATATTTGGTATTTTGATGATTTTAGCCACATTATTCACCGGAATTGTTTCAAATTTGGTATTTGAAGTTCGTAATGGATACTACAGCCTATGCCAGAAAATTTTCTGTGCAGGTCCATGTCTTCGTATAGCTCTCGTATAACGGTACCTCCCCCCGACATTCGTTTTTTTTATGATTTTAGCAAAATTATTCACCGGAATTGTTTCAAATGTGGGATTTGATGTTCGTAATGGATACAACAGCCTATGACAGAAAATTGTCTGTGCTGGTCACGTTTTGGTACCTCCCTATATTCGGTATTTTGATGATTTTGGCTAAATTATTAACCGTTTTTTTTTTCAAGTTTTGAATTTGATTTTGTAATGGCTTATGACAAAAGTTGCCTATGCAGGTCCACGTTGTCGTATAGACCCAAATATAACGGCTGCATTCGGTATTTTTACGATTTTAACGGATTTTTTTTTTGTTTGAAAATCGTCAAATTCGTTCCAAATGGAGGGTAAAAGCTGAACTCACATGGTAAAAGCTGAACTCACAGCTTTTTTACTTGTTCTTTTATACAATTGTGTTTTTTTATATTAACAAGCCTATATCATGGGCTGTTCTTCTGAACAGTTTTGCCACAAACTATTTTCTCATAATGCATTTTGTCTCGTCTTTACAATTTTAGGTCTTTGATCTTCTCGCAGCGGGGTTCGATCAAGTCGCTTCTTTACTTTTCAAACCATTTCTGCAGATGCTGCTGTTTTCCTCTATCCACTTCCTTGACGTCGGGCTACGCTATCTGTATCACGGTAACGACCTCACATTTAAATGCTGGAGTGCTCTAACGATAGCCACTTGTGGTTTTTCAGCCAAATATAAAGAAATCGCACTATCGCGCTTGAATTCCATCACGAATAACTTTTTTCTGGAAAATTCTCACCACAATGCTTTTGTACGCTTGTAAACAATATAATGTTCTGTCACTAGAACAATTTTAACAGCTGTCAGACGAGTGGCTTGGAAATGACAGCAGTCTGAAGTTGGTTGCAGTTTTTTTTATCTCACCCTGCATTGCTTTCGATACATTTGACAATAAAACAATATCAAGGATCGTTGTTTAAGTTTCTTGCTCAAAACTCTATATCGCCCTATGTACCGATATCGTCCTATTTAATGTATTTGTGGGATTTTTGCAATATTTCCAGCCGAATTTACTGCGAATCGACATTTTGCGTTCGGACAACAACCACCCTTGCAAAGTACAGCACTCATACAAAGTTGGCTCCCTTTAGTTTATATTTTCATGATTGTAGTTCTCAATTTGTGCTTATCCCCCATCTTTATACGTACGACGTTGGAACTAACTTACCATTTTATTGAAATCATGATTACTTAAACTATTGTCACTTTGTGAGTGTAGTATCAGAAGGTGTGCATCGATCTGAATAATTTTTAAGCCTACACAAACCCTTATACAATTTTTAAGCTTTTTTTTAATTTTGTCCATATTTATGCATGTTCATCATTCATCTACTTTAAATAAAGTGGGATATTCAAAACTTAAAAATGAATGGGAAATCATGTCACATGTTAGAGTTATAATTATTTAAAATTGTGTCCCTCTGTAGGGCAGAGGAGATCCTAGAAGGAACGATAATTCCAATTTCCTACCCTAAGCCAGTCACAAATATATAATTATGAAAATATAACATATTTTGTTTTTAAAATATAGCATAATTTATCAGGAAATGTATGCCGATATTGTCCATATTTTAGATAGACTGACAATGTCCCGAATTCAAAACTTTAAAAAAACTGACAATGTCCCGAAATGGATTTCTTCCAAAGGCCTAGCCATTATTCCGATAAGGCACAAGACATTTTTTATAAAAAATACTGCCTGCCTTTAATTGATCGGTACGATTTTCTTGAAGTGTATTGCTACCCCGTTGATACAAAAAAAACTTTCCCTGCATTTTTTAGCTTCCTAGGGTTTTCAATAAAATTGCTGGTGATTTGAATTCTTAAATAATACAATTTCTTTTTGCAGAACATTTCCAATAGTTTCACTATTTTTCAAGCCCCGTTATTTTCAATGTTTCGAAGGGATTTGCCAAAATTTACCAGGAGATCAGCAGAAATTTGCTATTTGAATTACTTTATTTGTAGTCGTTGTTTAAAATATAACTCCGGTGTTAGAGTCATATCCAAAATATCTCAATTCGACAATCTTGACCGATTTATTTATAATTTATTATTCTTTCTTTTTAGCCCACCAATGGTCATTTTTATGTCCTCTGTAATAACCCTATTGCTAGTTGAGCTACGATTATGAATGAAGACACACACGGACGGCCACCCACCCTCAGCGCAATAAAACAGAATTCGTCGTGTATTATTTTAAGTAATGGATAAACTGAAACATAAATGGAATGCATGTCATGTCGTTGTTGTTGCTTTTTTTGAATGGCGGTCTTATTGTTTGTGGTGTGACGATTACTTGTTGAGCTTATCGTCCAAATTGTGTGTGTGTGAATGTATGAATGATGTGTGGCAATGTCATGCATTTATGGATGTCATGGATGAAATGCAATTGCCGGTCGGTCGGTCGGTGGTTTGTTGGTCTGTTTGTCAGCCAGTGTGTTGGTAGTCGTCGTGTTACATATTGACATCGTCCATTTATTCAATGAAATTGTTTTCAAAAGGTTGTTGACGTTGGGTTATCGTAAGCGTAAAAATGTTTTTAAGTAGAGAAAAAAAAAAAAAAAAAAAAAAAAAAATGAAGTGGTTTGAAAAATTAAATTTAAAAACTCAACGGGGGGTTATATGATGATTCCTCAATAACCTATGTGTGTGTATGCACACATTATCTAACAACCATCCAAAATCGAAGACCAAAAAACCTAAATTTTTATTTTGATTATACTTCTACATGATTAAATATTGCATAAACATATGAATTGGCAAAGAAATTTCGTTTAACGCTCCCAAATGGGTGGAGGAATGAATTTGAAAACAGAAAGAAACGAAAATCAAGAAATTTGCAACGAAACTGATAAATGAAACAGCTGTGTGTGTATGTATGACATTAAAAAAAAAAACGAACGTAACGTAACGTAACGAACAAAAGAACCCACCTTTATTTTTGGACGTTACAAATAATTGCAGTAATCTATACCATCTTTTTTGATAATGCTGATCAGATGTGGGTGGTTCAAATTCTGAAAGTAATAACGTTTAAGAGAAGTAATTATAAATATTGTGACAAGATTTGTCTCTTGGTTTCGTTGGCGAAGAACTTTTGGTTTTGAAATGGCGCTACTTTTAATCGAAATGACTTTTGATTAATTTGCCTTTTGCATGATAGCGTTTTTTTTTTTTTTTTTTGTTCACAAACTGGATGTGATGTGACATTGAAAGCATTGTGGGCTGTAAATTATTTTATTATACGAAATTTACTATGCGAAATTATTTGATGTATTTTCTATTAAAAATTTTTGCTAGCCAAAATCATATGTTTTCGATTAGATATTTTACTAAAATATTTTCTATTCAATATATATATATACAAAAAGAGTGTCTATAAAATGTTTATTTTGATATTGAAAAATAATTTAGTTTTTATAAAATGACAACGAAGTTTCTAAAAATTGTCTATAGTTTCCACTTTCCCTTTAAAGGAGACAATATTAAACACAAACGTAGTATTTTCAGAACTAAAAAGTACAGTTAAAAAGGAGAAAAAATATTGGATCAAATATTCAGTCCTCCATTTTGTAAAATTTAATATACACTATTATAATTTTGGGATTGTTCAAAGTTTTTAATTTATTTTTTCTTATTAATTTTATGAGAACTATGATTTTTTGGAAACGTATCCCTTGTGGGGTGGTAACAGAAGAAGTGGGCTGATATTTCAATTTTTTTATGAAACTATTCGCAACACAATATAAAAAAAATAAATAAACAAGTAAAAAAGCTGTAAGATCGGTTGGGCCGAATTTTGAATACAATCCACCATTTGCAATGAACTTGGCAATTTTCAAAAAAAAATCCGTTAAAATGCTGTTCAAATCTTAAAAAAACAGTATGTATTATGTATTATATTAGGGTCTTTACGACGAAGTGGACCTGCATAGGCAACGTTTCTCATAAGACATTACAATATTCAAATGGGAATCTTGAAAAAAAAAAAAAAATTGGTGAATAATGTAGCTAATATCAAAATACCGAATATAGGGAGATACCATTATATGGGGGCTATACGAAAACGTGGACCTGCACAGACAATTTTTTGTCATTGGCTGTAGTATCCATTACGAACTTCAAACAACAAATGTGAAACAATTCCGGTGAATAATGCCGCTAAAATCATCAAAATACCGAATATCGGGAGGTACCGTTATATGGGGGCTATACGAAGACGTGGACCTGAACAATTTTCCGTCTTAGGATGTAGTATCCATGAAAAACTTTAAATACTAAATTTGAAATAATTCCGCTGAATAATGTCGCTTTAATCACCAAAATACCGAAAATAGAGAGGTATCATTATATGGGGGCTATACCAAAATGTGGACTTACAAGACCCATTTTCAATACCAAAAGTCCTGCAGACATAATATACATTTTAGTAAAATTTTATGAACCCGATTTCACCAGACTGACAGACGGACGGACATCGCTAAATCGACATAGAATTGTATGCTAATCAAGAATATATGTACTTTGTGGGGTATAAATTGTATATTTCGAGGCAATGACAAATTTAATATACCCTCCATACTATGGTGGAGGGTATAAAAAAGGTGGGTCTAGTCAATAAAAACAAACAAATCTCGATGTCTCAAATTACAACCAATTGTACTGAAACTCCTCAACATACCTCAAGTTGGACTTATTAGAGAGTAATATACGGGCTCTAGTCTTTATGGATATAAAATTATTATTTCGTGGTGTTACAACAATTCTCAAATATAACGAAAATGTAAAAATAAATTTATAATTATTTTGAAAATGCCCAGCATTGTAATTAAATATTCATTAATTTTCATTGTTTTCAAATGACCCACAATTACCCTGGTTGAACGGAAATTCCATCAAAAATTCGGGTCACGAAAACACAAACCTTTTTCCAAAAATCTCGGCCTATCAAATATACCAAGAAAATAATATATATTTTAACAAAAAACAAATAAAAAAATATTTGACCCATATTATTACAATAGTTTCTGTTCATTGTTTTCATATTATCAAATCAATGAAAACACGAATGCTGACCAGCCGCAGTAGCAATAACAACAAAACAAATTACTAAAACAAATAAACAAAAAAGAAAGAAATACAAATTGTTAACAATGAAAACTAGCAACAAAAGAATACAATTAAATTTTAAGTTGCCATAACAATAGTTGAAACAAAAAAACAACGACTATTGTTTGGATCAAAACGATTGAAATTAAAAATTGTTTTTTTTTCTTTGTATGAAATTATAAAAATAGTATTTACGGCATATTAATAAATATATACACAGATATTTTTTTTTTTTTGGTGTAAACATTTTTTAATTTACTAAACAACTTTAAAAAACAAATATAAGGAAACTATTTTTTATTTTTTTTTTAAGTTAAATTATATTTTAAATGTTTGATTTTTATACCCTCCACCATACTATGGAGGGTATATTAACTTTGTCATTCCGTTTGTAACTCCTCGAAATACTCATGTCAGACCCAACAAAGTATATATATATTCTTGATCAGCGTAAAATTCTAAGTCGATTTAGCGATGTCCGTCTGTCTGCTGTAATCACGCTATCTTTCGAACGAATTGAGATAGAAGGCTAAAATTTAGGCAGGTTAAGTTCGTAAATGGGTCATGTAGGTCCACGTTTTCATATAGCACCCATATAACGGTACCTCCCGATATTCGGTATTTTGATGATTTTAGCGACATTATTCACCGGAATTGTTTCAAATTTGGTATTTGAAGTTCGAAATGTATACTACAGCCTAAGACAGAAAATTGTCTGTGCAGGTCCCCGTCTTCGTATAGCCCCCATATAACGGTACCTTCTTATACTCGGTATTTTGATGATTTTAGCGACATTATTAATCGAAATTGTTTCAAATTTGGTATTTTAAGTTCGTAATGGATACTACAGTCACAGGCAGAAAATTGTCTGTGCAGGTCGACGTCTTTGTATAGCCCCCATATAACAGTACCTCCCAATATTGATGATTTTTGATGATGATTTTAGCGTCATCATTCACCGGAATTGTTTCAAATTACGTATTTAGAGTTCGTAATGGGAACTACAGTCTGTGACAGAAAATTGCATACGCAGGTCTTCGTATAGGCCCCACTATATTCGGTATTTGGACGAGTTTAGGTACAATACCCACCGAAATAGTTTGAGACGTCGTATTTGAAGTTCGTAATGAATGCTACAGCCTATGACAGACAATTGTCTATGCTGATCTAGGTCTTCGCACAGCTCCGATATAACGGTACCTCTCTATATACGATATTTTGATGATTTTAGCTACATTATTCACCGTTTATTTCAAGTTTCGAATTTGAATATGGTAATGGCTTATGACCAACAATGCCTATGTAGGTCCATGTCGTATAGACCCCAATATAATTTTTTTAATTTTAACAGAATTTTTTAAGGATTTTATTTTTTGAAACTTTCCAAATTCGTTCCAAATGGTGGAGGGTATTCAAAGATCAACCCGGCCGAACTTACTGCTTTTTAACTTGTTCTTAAAATAATTCGTGAAAAATAACCACCAGGGACAACAATTTTCATACACTCCACCACTTAAGTTCGTCATTCCGTTTGTAACTCATCGAAATAAGATTTTTAGACATAACAAAATATATATATTCTTGATCTAAAACGATTTAGGCCTGTCCGTCGGCAATGCAACCAACTTCAGACTGCTGTCATTTCTAAGCCACTAGTCCGACAGTTGTCAAAATTATTCCAATGACAGCTCATTATATTGTTTACAAGCGTACAAAAGAATATTGGTGAGAATTTTCCAGAAAAAAAATTATTCGTGCTGGAATTCAAGCGTGATAGTGTGATTTCTTTATATTTGGGTGGAAAACCACAAGTGGCTATCGTTAGAGCACTCCAGCATTTAAATGTGAATAAATCTTTTGTGTCTCGTACCATCGCTCATTACCGTGATATTGGTAACGTAGCCCGACGTCAATTAGGTGGACGGAAGGAACAGCAACATCAGCAAAAATGGTTCGAAAAGTAAAGAAGTGACCCGCGTCGCAGAGGCCGAAAATGGCTCGTGAGCTGAACGTATCGCAATATTCCATTCGGCAAATATTGAAAAATGAGCTCGGGGTAATGCCATTGAGATTCCAAAAAGTGCAAGAACTTTCACCGCAACAGAAAGAAAATAGACTCAAAAGAGCTAAAGAGTTGCTTCGCTTGGCCTAAAGTGGTGAACTGTCGAATTTGGTTTTCTCCGACGAGAAAACATTCATTGTCCAGCAGTTTGTAAACAAACAAAATGATCGTGTTTACTTGCCAAAGAGGTCAGCTGAAAATGTGCACCTTCGGTTGGCTACCAGAACTCAAGCGCCGGCCATGGTTATGGTGTGGGCCTCCATAACAGCCGATGGTCGCTCTCCACTCGTATTAATCGACCGTGGCATCAGAATAAATGCCGAATATTACCGCGAAAATATTCTGGAGTGTGTACAGGGTGCAGCAGATTGGAAAAATGCACAAATAAAACAAGTGACTGACAAAACCTTGGCTAGAGTTAAATCTGCTGATTTCGACCGGATTTTACTCCCATTCGAAAACAAACAAAGCAAACTTGCTATAATTCGAGTGGCATGTAACAATCTACTATTCTTGTTTTATTATTTTGCTGCAAGGAGTTACTCCCGCTCAAATTTGTATGGAGAGTGAAACTCAAATTTCTAAGCTTTTGCACTTGTCGTACTTTTAAACTACGATTATCTAAAAATCACCGCTTCACACCAGCAGTGGTTCTAATGTTAAACTTAAATATTCTAGCTTTTGTTTATTCATACAGAAACATGCCAAATATCCGTACATATAAAGAGTGTTATTATCCACGGTACAATAAGGAGGTAGAACAGCTTTATAAAACTAAAGAAATACAACCCTGAGGCTATGCCCGCTTCCTGTCAGACAAGGTGTTTTCATTTTTTTTTTCATTTTTAAAATGAGTCTAATATTGCGGAAGATGAATGAAATGTCTGGATATTCTCTCAAAAATATGATCCTAAGCGTGGAAAAGCTGGTTAATATCATAAATGCGCGCCAACGAATTTAAGTTTCTTCCAATCCTTGCTTTTGAAAATATTTTGTTTTTATTTTTCAAAACAATAAATAAATACACAAAATTGGCAGAAGTCGGGCACACTTAAAAAAAAATGTATTCATCTAGTAGCTTTACCTTACCTTTTTATTGTACCATGGTATTATCATTATTGGGGATCTTTTTTTTTTTTTGTCGAATTATATTGCGACCCATCCTAGTATGCACATAACCCTTTCAGTAGATTTTTCCCGCGCATTAAATATTAATAAACACTATACTATAAACGAAGGAATGGTTATTTTTAATTAGCTCTACTCTACCATGACCAACAACAACCAAAAGGATATAAATATAAACTAATTAATTTGAAATTATTTATGATAGAAACCAAGGATACAGTGAACAAAATTTAAAAAAAAAATAAGGAAGCAACTAAAATAATAAGGATTTGATATTAGGCTGTATTTCAATGAATTATTAAATAGTAAATTATGTTGGTGTCTTTTTTTAAGTTACTCGGAATATTCTTACTACAAACTTAACAAATGCGCATGAACCAACTAAAAGTTTGTTAAAAATATACCATTACCAAAATGTAATAACTTTCTTTTTTCAATATAAGTGAATTTCATAAGAAAACAACGACAACAAGAAAATAAATCAAAGCATTTTCTTAGTATTTGGTTTGATTTGAACTTACCACCAGAACCGCCATCGTGTAGCATTATCCGTGAATTGGTAAAGAATGGCCTTAGCGAGGGTTTGGGTGTCGAACCAATGGACAGACTGTCTATATCCGGTCCAGAATCATCACCCTCACAGCATGACAACGATTCGAGCTCTTGAAATAATGCATCCAAATCACGTCCGCCATGTAGAGCAGCTGTGCTGCGATTTACTTCACCTTCCAACTCCTCGGAGGCTTTGAAACGTTTGAGTAGGGCAAAGATTTTCTGCTTGAAATTACGCTGTTGCAGGGAAATGGTCTGTAATTAGAAAGAAAAAGAGGGGGAGGGAGTTAGAATACGTGGCATGTAAGTGTAAGGCGACCCCTAAGCAATGAAGACATTTGTAAATCGATGAATGATTGATAGAACAAACATTTACACAACATTTTCGGCGTTTGCAATGTGATTGAAATTTAAATTGTTTTCGCTTTTTTTGTTGTTCATTTTCTTAAGTTTGATTGATTGGAAAACTTGGGAAATATTTGTATGTTGCAATTATTTTTTTTTCGGATTTGTTTTCAAAGACACTAATAAAAATACGAGTAGAGACAAAATGATGGGAATTTTTTCAATATACATAAACTGTAGAAGACCTTTGGGCTTTTGTATATGGAAGGCTTTGAGAGAGTTCTCTGTAAGTGAAACACATTTGTAGAAGACCAGTATAAGGTCTTCTATCTATTCGAGACATTTATAAAGTCTTCTATCTATATGAAAACTTTATAAGAAATTGTATCTATCTGAGACCTGAATAAATTCTTCTGTCTATAGAAGACCTAAAAAAGGAGACCAGTATAAGGTATTCTATATATAGTAAGCCAGTATATGTGGAATATGTAGAAGATCAGTATAAAGTCTTCTGTATTTAAAGGATCTGTATACGTTATTCTATCTCGTCGACGGTCTTCTATCCATCGGAGACCAGTATAAGGTATTCTATATATATAGGAGACCTTTATAAGGTGTTTTACCTATAGAAGACCTATATAAGGTAGGAGACCAGTGTAAAGTTTTCGGAATATTGACGACTCATCGAAAGCCTTCTATCTAAACAGGGTGAGATAAAAAAAACTGCAACAAAGTAAAAACGCCATAATTTTTACATTTTTTTTTAATTTATTGAATGAAAGCAAAAAATATCGGAAATAGAATCAACTTTTAGAATAAGTTTAGATTTGTTCCAATTTGTCACCTTTGGCACGAATTATGGCCTTCAAACGGCCAATGAAACCGTCACACGAATGTTGGCCTTTCCTGGCGAAGCACTTGCTTGAGGTGATCGACACTTTGGCATTTTTTAGTGCCAACCATGCTTTCCAAAATACTCCAGACACAATGGTCCAACGGATTGGTACCCGGAGATTTTGGTGGCCATTGCGCGCAGGAAATGAAGCGAGGAACCTCATTTTGTAACCATTCTTGGGTGGCGCGTGCTGAGTCCTGTTGGAATGTCCAAGGTCTGCGATCAAAATGTTTGCGTCCCCAAGCTTTAATACACCCTCTAGAATATTTTCGGCAGTTATTCTGATGTCACGGTCGATTAATACGAGCGGAGAGCGACCATCGGCTGTTGTGGCGGCCCACATCATCTCCATGGCCGGCGCTTGAGTTCTGGTGGCCAACCGAAGGTGCACATTTTCAGCATACCTCTTTGGCAAGTAATCACGATCATTTTGATCATTGGACAACGAATGTTTTCTCATCGGAGACAACCAAATTCGCCACTTTCGGCCAATCCAAGCAACTCTTTAGCTCTTTTGAGTTTATTTTCTTTCTGTTGCGGTGTAAGTTCTTGCACTTTTTGGCATTTCAATGGCTCATTTTCGAACTCATTTTTCAATATCTGTAATTTGTAGGGGAACCGTAAAAAGTACTCCGTTGATAGAAGATCTGTTAAATGTATTTTGCCTATTCAAGTACAAAACCTGTGAAAGAACATATTTTCATAGAATATGCCTACATTTCAAAAAATAATCCAATTTAAAATAATGCCATAAGACTTTTTCATTAGGTTGTTCTCCTAAATCAGTATTTATTTATTTATTTATTTATTTATTTATTTATTTATTTATTTATTTTTTTGTTAAAATTAGAACGGATGTCATTCAAATATGCCCTTCGACTAAGAATTTCCCAAAATATTAGGTAGAGAACTCATAAAATAATCTCCAAAGTATATTCCATACTTTTGAAAAGATTTTTTTTGTACGACAAATATACAACACAATAATTCTGATACTTAAAAAATAAATCATCATCATAACCCAATTTTCACAAATCCATTCATATACACATATGAATCATAATTTATGCATTTTTTAATATAGTTCTGAGAAAAAAATCTTATCTCAAAAAATATACTCTGACTGAACTACTTTTACAAAATACTTTCATTTTCCAATGGCCAAGAGCTATTTTTATAGTAATCGCTTTTAAATCTCCTCACAAAAGCGAAACATTTAAACTATAATTAAAAATAAAATAATAATAATTTTCATATGTGTGTATCTGTCATAAATCACAAGAAATGCTTTACTTTGTTGTCGTTGACATTTTGACACAAGGCACACGGTTGTATGGCATGTGTGTGTCGGTCTGTCGATGCAACAAAAGAATAATATATTTTGATATATTTTTAGTGTTTTATTATAATTGGTGTTGTGTGTTGATTTTATTTGTATATTTGAAAATATGCCGAAAATTAAGAAACAAACACAAAACAGTTTTAGTTGTTTTTTTTTCTTTCTTATTTTTCATAAGCTAATGAACTTGTCTCATCTGGGCAGGGAAAACTATAAATGTGGTTATGAGAAAACGGGCGAAAGCTTTTGGCACCTGTTGGTGGTGTCTGAGGAATTTTTGAAATATTTTCAATATTATCTATAGACACACTTAAAGATAGAAGACATTTGGCAGATCTTTTAAAGAATTCCTATTAAAAACTACAGTCAAACTTGTACATAAGGAAATTTTGTTGTTTACAAATGAAAAATAAAAAAAGAGAAATACAAATTTTCAAACATTAGACTTAATCTTTTTGTTTCTATTTAAGTAGTAGTGCGCGAAGCGTCAGATTTAAAAAAAAAAAAAAAAAAAAAAAAACATTACGTTGTGTCTTGCGAGTAATCCTGTTTTTTAAATCAGAATGGGAGAGACAATGTTCGAAATAGAAGAAGAGTTTACTTAAGGAGTAAAATTTAGTGGGAAAAAACTATTATGTTCGCTGTTTTGTGTGTCCATGTGTGCACAAGGTGAGATAAAAAGACTGCAACCAACTTCAGACAGCTGTCATTTCAAAGCCACTCGTCCGACAGCTATTAAAATTATTCCAATGACAGCTCATTATATTATTTACGATCGTACAAAAGCCTTTTGATGATAATTTTTGTCAAGGAAGTGGACGGCAGAAATGGTTCGAAAAGTAAAGAAGCGACTTGATCGAAACCCGCGTTGCAGTGGCCGAAAAATGGCTCGTGAATTGAACATATCGCAATATTCCATTCGGCAAATATTGAAAAATGAGATCGGTGTAAATTCCAAAAAGTACAAGAACTTACACCGCCACAGAAAGAAAATAGACTCCAAAGAGCTAAATGGTTGCTTCGCTTGGCCGAAAGTGTTGAAGTGCCAAATTTGGTTTTCTCCGATGAGAAAACATTGTGTTTACTTGCCAAAGAGGTCAGCTGAAAATGTGCAACTTCGGTTGGCCACAGAATAAATGCCGAGTATTAACACGAAAATATTCTCGAGGGTGTATTAAAGCCTTGGGCACGCAAACATTTTGGCCGCAGACCTTGGATATTCCAACAGAACTCAGCAGCATCGCACTCAGCACGCGCCACCCAAGAATGGTTACAAAATGAGGTTCCTCGCTTCATTTCCAGCGCACAATGGCTACCAAAATCTCCGGATACAAATGCGCTGGACTATTGTGTCTGGAGTCTGGAGGCAAAATACCGCAAAGTAAAATTCGGGCAGCGTGTGACGGTTTCATTGGCCGTTTGAAGGCCATAATTCGTGCAAAATGTGACCAACAAATTTAAACTTTTTCTAAAATTTGATATTTGCTATTATTCAATAAAATTTAAAAAAAAAATGTAAAAAATTATGGCGTTTGACTTTTTTGGAGTTTTTATCTTACCCTGTATATATGTATAATAAGTCTCAAATATATTAAAAAAATAATTATATCGGTTCTTAAAAAAATATTCTTTAATATGCCACTAATAGCTCCCAAAAATATTCTTAAAAATAAAATATTCTTAAAAAAAATTCAAAATATATTTTTAAAAATCCACGTTTTTAGTTCTTTAAAAAAAAACAAAAAAAAAATAAAAATATATATATATAAATATATATATGTATATATATATATATATATATATATATATATATATATATATATTTATATATATATATATATATATTTTAAATCCACAATAAAAGCTCTCAAAAATATTGTAAAACAGCATTTCAAAATAGCCTTAAAAAATATTTCTAACAATCCTCTTCCACGACAAAACCTATGAAATTGTTCTTAAAAATCCTCGTCAAAATAATTTCCATAATAATAATGTCCACAAAAACATTCTATGAAAAACCATCATTGAATATACCCATCAAAAAAATTAAAAATCCACCACAATCACTTTTGAAATATACGATTAGATCTTAAAAACTATTTTAAAAATCACAATTTTTCGGATATTTTGAAAAAATCATGATTATAATTGTCTGATAATTCTTTGAAAAATATTTTTAAAATCTTACGAATTAGGCTCTGGTAGTTTTTACATGTATTCAGTTATAGGTCCGATTATTTTTCCAAACATAATATGCAATGATCGCTTTTCAAAAAAAAAAAAAAAAAAAAAATAAATAAATAAATAAAATAAATAAATAAATAAAATAAATAAATAAAATCATATTTTCTGCACTAATTCATTGCTGAGCAAAAAAACACACCTAATATATAATTGCCAACACGCATGAATGAATCAACTAAATACCAGAAGTGTAGTAAGCTGTCTGTCTACCACCTCACTGTAGTAAATTATCACCTACATACATCCGCAAACAAACAAACAAGCACACGTTTTGAAATGGGAGGACACAAATAGCATGTCTGGCTGGCAGTGATGTTGAGGGCCACGTTAAGGCAATATGATATATATGTGTGTGTATATATACATTTCGGTTATGTGCCTGCCTCCTTTCAACTCAAAAACTCATACGAAGTGCGTGCGATATATTTCATTTTAAATTAATTGAGGAAATTTAGGTTATAATTTTTAACAATACCCAGAGGTATAGTTTTCTTTTTTGTTTTTCTTTTATTAAATTAGATACATTAAATTCATATAAACAAACGAAATGTACAACACAAATGCACACATTTGTGGATATTTGAATGAATGACGTCGCATCGTTTCTAGACAACAAGAGAAACATTTTCTAAAGGGGGGACCAGTCGAGGTAAATCGCCCATTAAAAGATCACATGTGTGTGGGTATGTATGTATGTATGAATGAATGTACGGCAATGTTGTGGACCACCGTTTGTTGTCAAACAAAATATGAGCGATTATAAAACAGGTGTTAAAACGATTATGCCAATTTATGAATAAATTATATATGGGTATGGATGACTTAATATAAAGTGGAATCCAATTACAACATTTCAAAAATCATGTTGCTAATTAATTTCAAATTAGTTGAAGAAACCTGAGCAGGGTTCTGAAAAACAGTTTTGAATAGTTGATTTTTTTTAAATCATATTTTTTCAATTTAACATATTTTAAAAATATTTTATCAAGGATAGATTCATCAGCGAAAAGTCCACCTTAAAATTTTAGAATCGTTCCAAAAAATCACACATCGATCTTAATTTTCAGACTTTTTTACTTTTTTCGAAAAGAATAATCGGAAAATGTTTACCTTTACAGCAGAAAGTCTTCGAAAACGTTCATTTGAAGTTTTCTGAGGAAGATATTTGTAAAGCCATTGCACATCTATTTTTTCTTTAACAACTATTTTAACGCCTCCATATGTAAACCCTAGAAACCAACAGTGACCACAAATTTAGCTCTGTCCCTTCACCCAATACCAAATTTAGTATTTTTCGTACAATTATTGCACATGTTTCCAAAACCACCTCAACATCTTAATGCCAGATACCAACAGACCTTAATATCAAATTTCAGGATTTCAGCTCTATTCCTTCACCCAAAACCCAATTGACCACTCAGTACTTATCGAACAAACGCCTTTATTTTTTTTTTTTTTTTTTTTTTTTTTATTTAATTTCATTGAATGAAAGCAAAAAAAGGTTCAATATACCCTCCAGAATATTTTCACGATAATATTCAGCATTTATTCTGATGCCCCGGTTGATTAATACGAGCGGAGAGGGGCCATCGGCTGTTATGGCGGCCCACACTATCACCATGGCCGGCACTTGAGTTCTGGTGGCCAATCGAAGGTGCACATTTTCAGCTAACCTCTTTGGAAAGTAAACACGATAATTTTCAATCAAACTGCTGGACAACGAATATTTTCTCATCGGAGAAAACCAAATTCGGCAGTTCACCACTTTCGGCCAAGCGAAGCAATTCTTTAGCTCTTTTGAGTCTATTTTCTTTCTGTTGCGGTGTAAGTTCTTGCACCTTTTTGAATTTACCCCGAGTTCATTTTTCAATATTTGCCGAAGAGTATATTGCGATATGTTCAGCTCACGAGCCATTTTTCGGCCACTGCGACGCGGGGTCTCAGTCTGTTCACGAAATATCAAATATAGGAGCATTCAGTACTTTTGGTACAATTACAGTACACATTTCGGAAACTATCTCTATATTTTCAGGCTACACATGAACGGCTACCCTAATACCAAATTTCAGGTTTCAAGCACTATCTGTACACTAAATGACAAATTTTACCAAATGTAGTACTATTTAGTACTTTTCAGATTTCAAGCACTATATGTACACTAGATGCCAAATTGTCCCAAATACATACAGTACATATTTCAATAACAACATCTTTATCAGAAACCTACCACCAACAGGAACACCAATACAAAATTTCAGCTTTAATCGACCCCCCTAAACCAAACTCTTTCAAATTTAGTACCATAGTTCGCACACTTAGTACTTATATTCCAACATCAATTCTCAACACCAAATTTAAAGTTTTTTCTTAACAAGGCAAAGCTCAAAAATTAAAATTCAGCCGAGCCTGACTGTGGGATTTGAATCGCGGACCTCTGTGTGCAGCCGACTTGAAGTTGCCGTCTCAACGTTCAGAGCCATTAACCCGTTTTCCTAAAGCAGCACTAAAACCAGTGTATGCATTGGAAGCAAGCAAGTTCGAAATAAATACAACTTTCCAGAGAACGGCCCTTATAAGCCATCATCCACACCATATACTCCTTTGTTTCTTATATGTTTAAGAATTGTGAATACACTAAAGTGTAGTGGATTTAGAATCGTGGATTTGTATTTATTTATTTATTTTTTTTTTTTTTTTGTAATATTTAAGAATTCTGGATTTTCTAAATATATTTTAGAATTGTGGATTATTAGAATATATTTTTATATAGTGTCTTCGAAAATAGAGTATTTCAACTTACCCTGCTAATTTTAGCCCTCGACGAACTCTTATCCTTCATTTCGAATTCACTATCACTGTCGACGGGATTATTCGCGCCACCCAAGGCCACAACATCCTCCACTTCGGAACGTTGCAATTTGCGATATTTACGCATATCATGTTTGGAAGGATTGTAATCACGTTTCGGATCATAGCCGGGTATACCGAGATCATCATTAAATTCACCCGAACTAAATTCACCCTCTTCATCTTCGTCGGAGTATTCAGCGACGCGATCTATAAACAAAAATAAATATATTAAAAAAATTAAATTAACAAAACAGAGTAATGTTTTAATATTATTCTTTGTGTCTTTTTAAAGCTAAGATTAAACAACATTATTATAAAACGGACAGCAATAAAAACGATGATGACCACAAAATATGGGTTAATTGAAGTTAAATCATGTACTCAAAGAAAACGTCTTGATTGGTGGCTTTGCATTATAAAGAGATAGTGTCCAAAGAATTGTGGTAAATATTGTTGTAAAAAATAATTGTAAAAAAAAAAATATAATAATTGTCCAATGCCTCAAAACACAATGATATTTTAAAGAGACAAATAATAATACGGAATACATTTGCATGTATGCAAGTGTTGCATACTTACATACGTATATTTAAAAATAAATTATTCATACACACATGCTCCTAACATGTGCTTCTATAAAATTCATATTGATAATGCGACTGCACCCCCATAAATATATATATATGAAAATACGTCATTTAAAAATATATATTTTTCCATTGGAGATTATAGAAAAATGTCAGTTCAAATGCGGTATATTTTGGTCGAGGGATCAGCAATAATAACAATAATTTAAGTGACTATCAATAGAGCTAGATTCGTGAGTTTTTTTAAGGATTTTCAGGACGACGATTTTTTTATTTTTTTCTTTAAGTATATATTAAAATGTATTTAATGAAGGATAAGGATATAAGAAAATTTTTAATGACTTTATTTGATTTTAAATATTTTTAAGGAATTTCAGAGCTAGAATTTTAAAATAAAAATTGTAAATTACCTTATGAGGCATAAGCGTAAATTTTAAAGAATATTTATTCAAAAAATTTTTTTGTTAAGAAATAAATTGAAATTGTAAGGATATTTGTTGAACAACTTTCCAAACAAAAATCAAGAGTACTTCGCAATGTTTTACAAGGACTATATTGACTATTTTTGAGAAATACATTTGGATTATAAAAGAATTATTTCAACAAAGTCAGTAGATTTACTGTGAGTAGATTTAGAACTGTTATGTGTGGCCATTTTGTAATACCAAAAGTCCTATAGACATAAGATACATCTGAGTAAAGTGTGATCAACATATTATAAGAAGACATGGACCTGCATACGAATATTTTTGTCATAGGCTGTAGTACCCATTACAAACTTCAAATACGAAATTTGAAATAATTCCGGAAAATAATGACGCTAAAATCATGAAAATGTCGAACATCAGGAGGTACCCTTATATGGGAGCTATACAAAGTCATGGACAAGCATACGATTTTTTTGCCAGAGTACCCATTAAGATCTTCCAATACGAAATTTGAAACGATTCCGATGAAAAATGCCGAATATCGGGAGGGACCGTTATATAGGTATAATAAAAACACATATCGAGGTTTTGAAAGTTTACATCGCAAAGTAATCTAAACAAATAGAAAAGTTCCATCCTCTTTAAAATATCGACATTTTTGGATATAGATTCCTGGTAATCTCTTCATTTTAGGTAATATTACTGTTAAATAACATGAGGATTATTTTGATTAAATATTTTAACCTTCAAGCGAGTCATTAAAGAGGCCTTTTCTTGTTTTCAAAATATCTTTAAAAATAACTTTTTTAAACGGGATTGTAGCGCTTAGAATATTCTACAAATTTATTTGTCTAAGAAGATATCAAAAGTCTAAATCTTGTTTAAAAATCAGAAATACATATGTATTAGAAACACCTTTTTGCGTAAAAGACGTACTTCATGCGAATGTCTGAAAAATGAAAGGATGATGTCAAAGGGAAAATATTCTTCTTTCACTATAAGTCACCAAAGAAAAAAATCTCTGGTACCATTATATGTCAATTAAATACTTCCATCTTCGCCAAAAAGCGAAGATATTTTCAAATATTTTTTATAATTTTTTTTCTTTTTCCTTTTTTGAGTTCATGCCTGAAAGTGACAAAAAATATCGTTTTAAGCAGAAAGTGTCAAAAGAAGGAATTTTCTACACAACATTTCACTATAAGCCTCATGATATCCCATTTATCCAGGTTAAATGTTTTTTTTAAATACATTTCAAATTTATATATTACAAGTTTCCATTCCAAGTCAAAATCTACCACAAAGCTTCGTTTTTCTTGGGGAAAGTCTCAAAGAGAAAAATATTCGACATCAAATTGCATTGTTAGTCTATTTCAAGTCAATTTTGGTTTATAAACAAGTAAAAAAGCAGTTAGGTCGGCCGGGCCGATCTTTGAATGCCCTCCACTATTTGGAACGAATTTGGCAATTTTCGAAAAAATAAAATCCGTTAAAAATTCTGTTAAAATCTTAAAAATAACTACGACGTGTACGTGCACCGACAATTGGCTGTGGTATCGATTAAGGGCTTCAAATACCAAATTTAAAACAATTCCGGTGAATAATGTCGCTAAAATCATCAAAATACTGAATATTGGGAAGTACCGTTATATGGGGGTTATATGAAGACGTGGACCTGCACAGACAATTTTTTGTCTTAGACTATAGTATCCATTGCGACACAAAATTTGAAACAATTCCGGTGAATAATGTCGCTAAAATCATCAAAATACTGAATATCGGGAGGTACCCTTATATGTGGGCTATATGAAGACGTGGACCTGCACAGATAATTTTCTGTCTTAGGCTGTAGTATCCACTGGACCTTTAAACACAAAATTTGAAACAATTCCGGTGAATAATGTCGCTAAAATCATCAAAATACCGAATATCGGGAGGTACCGTAATATGGGGGCTATATGAAGACGTGGACCTGCACAGAAAATTTTCTGTCTTAGGTTGTAGTATCCATTGCGAACTTCAAATACCAAATTTGAAACAATTCCGGTGAATAATGTCGCTTAAATCACCACCAAAATACCCAAAAAAAAGGGAGGTACCATTATATGGAAGCTATACTAAAACGTGGATCTACATGACCCATTTTCAATACCAAAAGTCCTGCAGACAAATTACACATTTGAGTATAATTTTATCAACCTACGTCATTTCGGTCGGAAACTAGAGTGATGTCCACAGACGGGCAGGACGGACCTGGGTAAATTGACATAGAATTTTATGCTGATCAAGAATATATATACTTTGTGGGGTCTAAAATGTATATTTCGAGGTGTTACAAACGGAATGACATACTTAATATACCCTCCATACTGTGGTGGAGGGTATAAGAACTCTTTCATTTTCAACAAATCTAGCTCGCTGAAAATTTTCTAATGATTTCACTGTAGAAAAGCCAGTCTCAATAGAGTTTTGGGAGTTTAGTCCAAATTTTTATGGCCTTTAAATGTAAGGGAGGCCCATATTTTGAGTTAAATCGCACAACACTTAATATAGGCTTTTGAAAATTTATTTAGAGTTGTGGATTGCTTCAAAAATTATTGGTTAAAAAAATGGGTTATGTGGGTCCACATTTTGCTGTAGTCTCAATGTAACGGTAAATTCCGATTTCAGGTGTTTTTCTTTTTATTTTTCTTGTTTTAGTCATATTTTCTTAATAAACATGTTCCGATCAAATATATTTTATGTATGGGGTTGGAGTTCTGATTAAATGTCGATATATGTCAATTTTTGTGATATATGGGCACTTTTGGGTTTGTTTTCCCTGCTTTGCTGATCTTAATTCCAGTTTTACTTATTTCAACATAAATTACACTGTTCTTCCATATGGACCCGGCGAATATTTTAAAAATGCATTAAAATATATATTTTTATTCCCCTTTTGACCACAAAAGAAGAGGCGCACACAATGAAATATTTATTGTATTCCAAATTATCATTCAACACATTTAATGGGACTGGGATATTTAAACCTTCATGTGTTATTTATGAAAAGGCACTAAAAAAGGCGTAGAACGAATAATTTTCTAAAATTTTAATTATTTTAATTAGTGTCATAAACACAAACACCGCACACGCACCCACACACACACTTAAATTGCGATTTTAAAATTTATAAATCTTGATAATAGAAATGCACAGGCCGTAGAAAATGTGGGTATCTGGGTGTGTAAATAAATATGTTTTTGAAAAATGCGTTTCAATTAGAGATTAGGAAAATGGGCGCCAAAGCAAATTAATTAGCACTGTTTTCTCTGGGGGGGAGAGGTGATGAGAAAAACTGTGTCAACGTGAAATGAATCATTCATTATTTGTTCATACTTAATGCGCTTAAACTAAATGCAAAAAAAAAACTTATCAAATATTGTTATTTGTTATTATTACTTTTTATAAAAAATCTCATTATTTTGGGTTTAATAACTGTTTCCTTCATTTTGGGTTTGACTGATTTTTTGTGGGTCGTAACGAAAAGTAAAAAAAATAACAAACCGCGAACCGTTTAATCACAATTTGTACACTTGTTGATGAATCATTTACAAGCACTTCTCTTTATTATTATTTTTGTTGGTAAGTTAAATATTTTTTTTCCCAAAAGGTAGGTAATTAATATTTTATTACTTTGCAACCATTTTGGTTTTATTTTTATTTTGTACAAAACACTTTTACGTTGCTTTAGTATTTTTTTTTACAAATGATTTCACTGATTTTTTTCTCGTGAATTTTCAATATTATTTTTTGTTAGAAATAAAAACGCGCGACGTTACGCTGCGCTTGATATCTTTGGTTGAACTGTTTTGGTATTCTGTCTGTTATATCTTGAGGCGCATTCAAAACTGATATGACTGGCTTCCCATAGCGGTGGCGTTGTTAATTTTTCTCAGTAATAAGAAACAAACACTTCATTATCTTTTGCTGCTTCGTTGTGTTGATGTTCTTGTGTTTTATTATTTATTTTTAAAGATTCGGTATAACACATACACACGTAAGTGGAAATCAAAGACAAGCCAGAGAAGAGAACATATGGCACCCTATCAGATACAAAACAAAGCAAAGTAGGGAGAGACAAAATATATTACGAGAGTAAGAGAGTGTATAGCTACAGGTAAGCCTCCAATGACTCGATTCGTGTATGATG